CTTTACGTAGAATAGATATGTTGAAATTAAATGTTAAATTACTTGATTTTTTAACTGCAAACATATGGACAATGATAGCATTAACCATTTGATGACCATGAGAAATTGAGATGCATCTGTTACTATCAAATTGGTGTATTATCAACGATTATACTTTATTCATAAATTTTATATCCGTACTAAATTTAATCAATTCCTCTGCATAAGTCTAACTATTTAGTGGAGCATAAACTCTACAAAATGTTTAGACTATTGGTTTTAATGACATTCTTAAATTGAATAATAAACTTACAATACTATTAAAGGAAATGGTCTAGTTCTTAAACTGAAAAAAAATACTTTATACAAATACTTCCATATTATTGATCCGAATAAATCATGAATAACATTTATTATTATTTTAAAGAACAAACATTTGAGCTGAATAACAACATAAATTCCTATTATTGCATTAGACTCTTGTTAGCTGCCTATAATCTGTAATAATTTAAAATAAAAACTGTTGATGGAAAGTTAATTGAAAATATATATCTTCACAATGGTAAGATAAAATTAACGGTAATAATACTGAAACAAACACAACGAATTCAAGACAACTCTCAAAAACAAGTTCCAATCCTTACAAGATCTACTCAAAGAAGAAGAAACTATTATGGAGGACAACCGGAAAGGGATCAAAGCAGCACTAACTTCAACGTGTCAGGAGGTTTTGGGCAGCAAGAAGCATCATCATGAGGACTGGATCTCCATCTAAACCCTGAACAAGATTTAAGAAAGCAGAAACAAGAAAACACCAATAACGACAGCCTAACAAGAACAGAGGAAGTCAAGGCACACTCCAAATACACAGAAGCAAACAAGCAAGGGAAGAAGAGTATTAGAACCGACATTCAGAAATACTTGGAAGAGCTAGCAACGGCAGAGGATCAAGCTGCAAGAGAAGAAAATATGAAACAACTATATGATATAACGAAGATGCTAGCAGGGGAAGCTAGTAGACCAGAGACCGGTCAAACACAAAGAATGAAAGATAATCACTGAAATTCAAGAATTGAGAAACAGATGGATAGAACATTTCGATGAACGCTTAAATAGGCAAGCTACATTGAATCCACCGGATATCAAAACAGAATACACAGACATTCCTAAAAATGTCGCTCCCTCGATGACCAAAGAAATCAGGATGGGCATCAAACAAATCAAGAGCGGGAAAGCAGAAGGACCTGACAATCTACCAGCTGAAACTCCGAATTCAGACATAGAAGCAACTGCAAACATGCTACACACTATTCAGGAAGATTTAGGAGGAGGGACAAGCGCCGAAAAATTGGAAAGAAGGACATCTCATCAAGATACCAAAGAGAAGAGATCTGAGCAAATGTGAGAACTACGGAGAAATCACACTACTGTCAATACCAGGAAAGGTTTTCAACAGAGTGTTGCTGCACCGAATGGAAGGTTCAGTAGACGCCCAACTTTGAGATCGATAGGCTGGATTCCGTAAGGATCAGTAGTGCACAAACCGAATCGCGACACTACAGATCATCTTTGAACAATCAATTGAATAGAACTTCTTACTACACATCAACTTCTTTGATCGTGAGAAAGCGTTGAACAGTATGGAAACATTTTGACACTATGGTTTTAGTACCTGAGAAACTCGTCAACATTATCCTGGATTCATACAATGGACTACACTGCAAAGTCGTGCATGAAGGACAGCTGATAGACGCATTCCAGGTGAGGACCGGATAAAGACAAGGTTATCTACTCTCCTCATCTCTCTTTCTTCTAGTGTTTGATTGGATGGTGAAGACCTCGACAATTGACGGGAAGCACGGAATAAAATGGACAGGTTGGATGCAACTAGACGATTTGGATTTCACAGATAACCTAGCCCTTCTATCCCATATACGTGAACGAATGCAGTTTAGGTGCTTCTGCATCAATAGGTCTCACCATACACAAAGGAAATAGCAAGATCCTCAAATACAACACAGAGAACACCAACCCAATCATACTTGATGGAAAAACTCTGAGAGAGGTGGATAGTTTCACGTTTCTGGATAGCATCATTGATAAGTGCGGAGGATCTGATGCAGACGTAGTGGCGAGTATTGGCAAAGCAAGGACAGCATTTCCACAGTTGAAGAACACATTGAACTCAAAACAACTGTCAACCAATATTAGAGTGAAAATCTTCAATGCGAACTTCAAAACTGTTTGATTGTACAGAGGTGAAACTTAGAGATCTACCACACCCATCATCAGAATGTGCAAGTATTTCTAAACAATTGTCTACGCAGGAAACTGAGTGTCCGTTGAACGAATACCATAAACAACAGCCCACTGTGAGAGAGGAAAACCAGCTTCTAAATGAAGAGGAAATTGGGAAAGATGCTGGAGGTGGATAGGACATGCATTGAGGATAACATCAAACTATATCACGAGGCAAGCGCTAACATGGAATGTTGAAGAGAAGGGGAAAAGTGGGAGGTCAAGGTACACGTTGCTTGGGGAATGGAAGCAGACACCAAAAATGAATCGCGACTCGAAACAACTGGAAAGTATTGCCCCGGACAGAGTTGGATGGAGAATGCTAGTGAACGGCCTATATTCCTCGTTTGAGAGCGAAGATCCTAGAACCTTAAATTATTAGGTAAATTTCATGGAGCTGAAAACACTTTCAGTCAATTACATAATGAATTAACTGAATATACAGTAATGTAATAACTGTTGTCATTTCCCTATTCTATGTAAATTAATTGTTGAATAAATTTCATGGGGGAAAATTAATTAGTGCTGTCAAAGTGTTCGCTCATAAATTCAATCTGAAGGCAATGATTACTTGCCCATCTATGATAAATATCAGTGTAAATATGATATCAAAGGATGCTTTTGAAGCAAACTTTTAAATCTATTTATCCACCACTAGTGCATCTTTTGAAGTCTTACTGAATGTTTAATGCATTCAATCCTACATTCCTTTTTTATAAAAAAGAGTTTTGTTTTTCTTTACAGAGAATTAAAAAGCTTATTCAACCTCATGAATGTATGGAACCTAATGAATATTTAATAAAAGATAAATCTATCATAAATAGGAAAATACCACTCAGTTTATCAGACACATTCAATTCTTTAAAATCATCATCATCATCTTATTTAAAAAAAGTACAATCAACTCATTCAATTCCAAATTGTTCTAAAGTGAATACAAATGTATAATTACCATTTTAATTAATAAAACTTATTCATTTATTCAATGAATAAATTATTGACAATATTTAATATTTTTCATGAATCATTTTAATGAATTCATCATAGTTAAAAATTTGTATACATCAGTTTGGATACGATTTGTGCAACCAAAATTGATTTTATTTACAGGTTTCAATCAATTATTGATTATCAATAACTATTCTGATTAACAATAAAAAAAGTTTATTTATTTATTTGTTTATTAATAATTAATCTTAGAAAATTAGTATAAACTATTAATAGAAAGTTATTTTCATTTTATTCATTTATAATTTCCACTATAAACGTTTGTACCTTCGAATCATTTCTGCATAATAAGAAATAATTCCTATTCATAAACAAAATAGTTTAGAATAGTTTTATTCATATGAATTATGTAATGATCAAATTTGTGCGTTAACTACATCATGATAAATTAAGTAGTTTTTTTTTGTGGTTATTGAATATTGTTCAATTCATGATTTCAATAAAAATTCGACAATCTCCATAACTATAAACTGATAATTATTATTTGCTTGCTAGTGAGTAGTTTCAAGAGGTGATTCTTGGAGTCCTTGTGAGAAGCCGCAATCAGTGGAGTTGAAGCATTTAATCAACGAAGTTAATGAAAGACGATTGGACAACATTGTGGAGTGGTTGAAATTATACACCGTCGAATTTCGGACCAATGGTCTAGAGGTTAAACGATCGCGCATGGGACCGAAGGCCTTGGGTTTGAATCCCATGTGCGTGATCATGGGTATGCACTGTCGAGGAATCCCTTACTAGAATGAAACGGCCATTCAGTGTACCCAGGTTCTCAATGGTGATCTAACGTATATCGGTTTCTGATGTCAATACACATAATTTAAGTCAGTTTGTCTTAAAAATGGATGTCAGTTACAGCTTATTAAGAAACGTCGGGTATTAAAAGATTTTTCGATGATTATGGGCATATTTTCTAGAATATTACTGTCGTTGGATCTTGGTTACTGATGGAATTATTACTAGTGATATACCTTTCATATCACGAACAACTGCATATCTTACTGTGACCAGGATGTCATATTAAATCGTTATAAAGGATAAGTTTACAATGATTAGTTAGTTCAATAGATGTGTACTAATTGTCCCTTTCTTGCTAAATACGCCGGCGGTTCACCGAAATCTATCCTCGATCACTGTTAAAGATAACTTTTGGAACATCTACAAAAACAATACTCCATAGCTTAAGTTCTTTACTGCATGACATAGGACATCCACTATCGAATTCTAAACTTAGTAATGTTTATAATACCCTAGCAAATAATCACCAGCTAACCAATTATCTTGTCATTCTGTTGATGAAAATACCTGTAACTGAAAACAATCTATCTGATGTATATTATTATATACTATTTATTAAAGTTGTTCACTGTTTACTAGAATGTCGTAAAAGCTGAAAATATTTCCACCTTTTTTAATGAACTTTTAGTTCCTTTAAATCTGGATTCCATTTCGTCGTGTCACGTATTCTCATTTAGATTAGTACGGTTAAATGCTAATCTCAATCATTGTATAGAAGTTATTGAAGTATGACTACAGAAAATAGTGTGAATAAAATAGTGTATGAGATCACTGACTAACCTCCTAACGAGTATAGTCACTATTACTTGATGGTGTTTTATATCAGCAGTCACATAACTAATTTAAGCTATAATATTGAACAATAGAGGCTTAGTTTATAGGTATTTATATACTTTCATTACTGTAAAGCTCTGTTTATTGAATCTAAGTTTTAAAAATAAATGAAACCAAGAAAATCAAAATTTCGTCACAAACCCAGCATAGATGAAATTTTCAATAAACGTAATATCAATATAACTATATAATTATTTTTTTAAAACGAGATCAAATCAAATTTATTTAACATATTCTTGATATAGAAATGAAGAGATTTTATATTACAAGTAGTATATCAGAGAATGATTGAAAAAGTTGACATATTCCATGCAAACCTCACTAGCGCTATCAGTATTATTACTACGCCATAAATGCGAAGCAATATAAGCTGACTGATTGTCGACATGATTTTCAATCAGAATAATTTTTTTTATTTTCTGATAGTTGTGAAATAGTTTCGGACTTATGACTGCTGGAATTTGTTGTAGCTGATGAACAAATTGACAAATAAGATGAATTATATCTACAAATTAAAGGTAAATGTATACTTGGTTTCACTATAGATTTATTTGTGTCACATTGTCTTGTTGGATGTCTCATAATCTAACCACATTTAAATAATCGTTTAAAAAAAGATGAATTTCTTTTGTGAGCTCGAAGCATATGTTTAGTACATATTTTTTGATTATGATGTGTGTTTAAATAAGATGTCATGGCAAATGTTGATAAAGCGTTAGTATGTTCCGTATTCTGTTGATATTTTGAACTTGTTTGTGATAAAGATGGATTGTTTGCGGAAGGTGATAGTAATTTATCTTCATTATTATCATTATCGTCACCATTAACATCATCATCATCATCATCATTATCATATCCTCCACAATTATCATCATTAACATTAACTTTTTGTCTAAATGACGAGGATTTTATTGAAGCTTTAGTCTCATTTGATAAGTAGGAATTATCATTTAAATAAAGGTTGTCATTTTCAGGTATTTCGTCCAATTCATTTGAATAATTTGGTTTTTTAATGAATAACGTTGGCATCGGTTGGAGATGTAAACTAAGTTAAGGCAGATAATATTAATATTAGTAGTAATGTTAACAATTTTATGATGAATTCATAATAGATATAAGAAAGATTATGAAATCTTTAGTTGAAACTTTATTTAAGCACCATTTAAATTTCTGAATAATACAAATATATGATTTTCCTCGAGTTTAATTGGGCAGTCTTCAAGAGGCTAGATAAGTTTATGGAATGTGTTATCATGGACTGGTATCAGCTAGAGAACCCAACCCAACAGGAGTCAAATTCATCACCGCAGACATAACAGAAACTCACAAATGACGAGCACTCACTAGATCTTCAAAAATTTATTTTTTAATCAAGTACCTAACTTTGCAATTCAAGTTAAAACCGGAAGCTAGATTACTAGTTTAGTGATTTGTGGCTAGTGAAAGTAAATGAGATTGTCCACCCACCGTGAACGGACATATATATCTTACTGAATATTTACTTTAGGATTTATTTCCCATTACTGTTTTATATTCCGGACTAAGTGAGGACTGCTAATAATTGTGTTAACTAATGTAATGTCTTATATGTATTCTAGTTCTTCACTTTGGTCGGGAATCATGTACATGGTATAATGTGGTCCGAGTTTTGTATAATATATCGAACGAGTATCTAGCCTAGTGGTAGTTTAAAATTAAGTTCCAGTCTTGTTATCTTATTATAGAAGCATATCGAGGAAACGCAGAAATATTTTTGATCTCTAATTATATCTCTTAGCGAACACTTTATTGAACTTGATGCTGACCAAAAGATATAACAGCGAAAGAGGACAAATTTATTATCATCTACAAAATAAATTACACTAAGTACTAAAAACACAGCATAAGGCATAGTTGACGCTTCGTTTGTTACGCACACATGAATAACAATTACATGAAATGATATGTCATCCGTCACATCAATGCATGTAAAAAACCGTATACATGAGTTTGAATGGATAAAATTTAAAGAATATCAGAGAACTTCTGAAATCATGACATTCAGGTCAACCTCAATCAATAGGCATATACAAGTGGACCCTGTTCATCATTCTGTAAGGATAAGGTAAATCAATCACCTTTCTAAAAGCAAACCAAACGAGACAGACGTAGGTAACGAAACTTTTGAAGAGATCCATCCACAAACTTGTTTATCGTAGTGGGTTGATTTAGAGCCACTGAAGTGATTAAATAGTTCATTTCCAAATGAGGCAAATGCTGATGATGTTGTCTGGAACAGCAACCAACAGTTCCTAGTTAAGCCACTGAGTTTAGAAAAGTCAACCCGACCAAAATTTTTTGCCCGAGATACAAATCTGATTCAGTATTTTATGTTCTCAATGTTGACAATGGGAATATTGATAATCATATATGTCCGAACTGTTAACTGATCAAGTGTTTTAACTATGACCTATGCTTTCTATATGTAATTGTCTTACAGTTAAATACATTGGGTATTAACTGACTGGTCGTTATCCTGAGAACTCTCAGTTTAGAATAGCAGTAGAGAATAAAATCTGTAGAATTCTCAACTTCTGAACTTGATACAAAAGGGAGTGACACACACGCACAATAGAGATAATATAACTATTGTCCCATAAGCAATAAATATCTACACAGATACATTCTCTATAGCTTTCGGTTCATCACAATTAAAACTGGTGAATCCTGATATTCTTAATCCATCCTCACTGTCATCAACTATAAACATAAACCATTAAATGCTTAAATAACAAACAATAATTTTCCGATAAGATAAACGTAAAATAATTCTTGAATTCAATAGTCACCTAGTTGTGTATCGACATTTACGATTAGCATCAGATACTACTGATATGAATCCCGATGTGAAGAAAGACATTGTGCTTAGCTTCATGAGTAATCAATTCGTATGTGATTACAATAAAATTTTAGTCACGAACGCATTATAAACAAAGTGTTATTTTTGACAGGTTAAATAATAATCATAATATTTACTTCCGACTTACTGTTTTTTCGATTTAACTTCATTGTGAATCAATAAACACTGATCCTTGTTTATTCGAGTTAAATTAATAATATCATGATGATTTTGATCAGCCTCATTTAGTGGCATTTTGACGTGATCACCTATTACGCATTTGTATTTTGGTTTTATTTCATTAAAATGAACACGAGTTTTCACATTTGAGGAACTTATATGTTGATCTAGTTTTGACATATTTCTCACAGAGAGATTTTGATTCATCATTCGATTTAAAGAGGAACTAGACACCTGATTTCTTGATTCATTATTTAAATCATGGTTATTACTATTCTCCTTTCTCTCATCACAATTTTGTACACTTCCAATAAATTTTAATTGTGAAATTTTATATTTCAGTAGTTTATCAAACAATAGACAAAATCCATGTCCAAAAGTGACAAGAATACATAGAAGCATAAAAATACTGAATCCAAATAGATATGGCTAGGTTGAATAATCAATTAATTTGGAATAGAAAAAATGAGAACAGTTAACTAATGAATAAAGAAATGAAAATCATATACTTATTTATATGATTATTTGAATAGAAATGTTTATTTGTTCACATTTGTTTTATTTCATAAAAAATCTATTGGAAGTTATGAACTTTAAATCTCACTGACTGATTATCCAATGACAACCAATGATATAGTGAGTGTCTCTTAGTGTTAATAGAATTTTTCAGACCATTGTGCAACTTGGAAAATAGTTTTAGTGGGCTTGATATCATTGCGAACTTTGGTTTGATGTTAAGTGGTCAAAGTGTTGGTTTCTTATTAATTTCCTCTAACTATTCGATAATGACTACTTCCAACACTTTAGATAGGTTTTGTAAAACTGAAGTTGTGACGACGGACAACGGGTGAACTCGAGGAAGGTTGACATTAAATGCACGGCTATTATGATTCCCTACCACCCATTTCTTCGAAATTGTAGGGTGCGAAAGAAAAATTTAGTGATCGGTGATTGGTGTACTTGTATTGCGAGTGTGTACTGAAGTGATAATGAACAAAAATTTTGTCACCTTTAATAATTTTGTAACTTCAGTGGTTAAGATCATGAGTCAGTTAAAGCTAGATTATCATGGAAAACGTGAAAGCATTGGACAGTCGTTTCGTCCCATTGTGGGACTCCTCAGCAGTGCGCATCCACGACCTCACTCCCTGCGAGATTCGAACCCAGGACTAGCTGCAACTGACTCATGATCTTAACCATTGAAATTACTATAATATCCACAAAACCCATCTGATATTAATTTTGTACTTGGTCGTAAACTGTTCATCTTTGCAATCTGATTAGTTGAAATCGAAGTAGCATCAAGTGCTTTGATTGTATGTCATAATTTGCATTTTTACATTTGAAATTTAATGATAATGAATAATTCTTTTTGTGTAATCTTAGTCTCGAAAAAAATTTAGACTTTTGAAGAAAAATACACCAACGCAATTTCACTACCGTGCAATACAACTGTTAGTGAATGTATATTGGGATAAATTTTTGTTTTCCGACCAAGTAGACCTTGAATTGAAGTCGTTAGTTATCTTGACACGATTAATTAAATGTATATCATTAAAAGAAAGCTTTTGAAAAAAGAATTGAGAACCGGTTTGAATATTTGATAATAGTGATTACTGAAGTAGAAAGGTAGTCAAATGTTTAATACCCAATTAATAAACAAATTATCACCAAAGTGTGTCCATAAGTTTTTTCTTAACACGTGGTATGTTAATTAAAAAAGGTAACGATCAGACGTACAAATGCGAATCTCGAACTACATAATGACAGTAAGTCGATCTTTCATAATTTGTGATAGCGGAGTTCAACGCTTCAAGCGATGGGAACGCAACGAGAAACAAGGTTGTCAAAAAAACTTCCTCCATTTCTGTTACGCGAGAAACAACAGCGCTTGTACTCGGCACGTTACTTTGCTCCATAATGATGATTTAAATGTACTTCATCGACAAGTACTGATGTTTTATAACAATTTGACAAGACATAACTAACCAATTAAAACGAACTTTGAAACTAGCCATTTCATTGGACGAAGCGGGATGAAAAATATTGTAATTTTGGGGTTGAAAAAAAAATTTAAAAAGGGTGGGGGGTGAAAAAATTGCCGTGGGGATGATTAAAACCCTTAGCCTGTCTAGTTGACCTTTTAATTTTCATATATAAATGTTCTTAACAAGTAGATGTGTGATCAGATTGTTCGAAATGTATAGCGCAAATATATCACATAATTCTGATAAACTACGTCTTCTCACTGCATTATCGAAATTTATCAAAGGGACTAATTGTTTTAAAATAATGTAAATTAAATTGTGGGTGGCCCTGAAAAGGGCTTTTACTCGGTTTCTTATTAATGCAGATTTAGCCGTTGGACGGCGTAACTATGGGTTTGTTATAGCGCCACACATTGGATAGTTGACCGCACGTACGTTTGATGATGGGTCGTAAGCACAAAACCAATGAAACATTGCTTCGCAAGGACAAAACACCCAAGCAGCTGCATCACCAGTTTCATATGGAGGCTGTGCAAGATGACATATATCACACAAACGGTTGTAATCATTTTGTTCTTCATATTCGATGTCCCGTTCCGTGAACTCTTCGGAGTTAATAGAAACTATTTCCTTGTCGTTACTGAACGTTTCATCCAAATCCGAGATTCCTCCATAGTTCGTCATGCATCAAGGGCACTGGAACGTGAGTGGAAGTGCTTGATTCGGTGTGCAAATGCGGTTCTGCACACAAGTTCAACGGCGTTGGTGGCATTCTACCGTGAACAACTTGATAAAGATGAATATAAACTTAACTGCATTTTTCCTCAGACATTTGCCTGACTAAGGAAAGCACCAAATTATTGATGCTTGGCTGTCGTAATTGGGCTGGTACGTTACTCTCCTCTATAATTGTGATTAAAATGTACTCTGTCGACAAGTACTGACATTTTATAACAATTTTACGACAGAACAAACCAATTATAACGAATTTAAAACTAGCCATTTAATTGGACGAAACGGGATGAAGAATTTTGGAAAATTGGATGAAAAATTTTTTTTAAAGGGGTGTAAAAATATTATCAAAATTTGCAAAAATGACCGGTCGTTTAATGATATTCAATATTTCACATAGTTCATAATCTTCGTCTTCTTATTACACTATCAAAATCTATTAAAGGGACTAATTGCTTTAAACCTAAGTTCATTTATTTGTATATCCTCATCTGTGACTTAATATTTTCATAACGAACATAATCAAAACTGTTATTTCGTTTCACTTCAAAAATGAGGATAATTTAGATAAAACTTCTTATCATTCGCCAAAATTTATAGGTGATTTCTTGTGCATAGTAATTTACAACGAAATAAATAGTTACTGACGAAGGGGTCTTGTGAAGCTCATTTCAATTCGCGTGTGAAACTTACTGCAGATTAACCAAATTTCATTCATCATTGGAAACCAGGGAGCACTGGATAAGTGTTTTGTTCCAGTGCACAATTCCTCAACTGAGGGCTGATCCCTGATTTTCCAATGAAGCCCAAAATAAGTTAGATCCATAATGAATGCCACCTATTCAATAATATAGTATTCAATAGTTAGAAAAGTTTTCCATAATTACAAGTATAGAATAGAAGGTGCGCAATAGTCAGAAAGTAACAAGAACCATTACGGTGAATATAATAAATACAAAAGAGGAATGAACGACATTTCTCGACTTGACGAGTATAGGTAAATTGAAAAAAAGAGAAAAACTTGTGGGACTAAAAACGGGGGTTTTGAGCAGGGTGACATCAGCCAACATACCCATGGTTTTTGGAGATAGGGATCAAGCCTTAATAGTAAAATTAGTGAAGTCTTTGTTCTATACACAATTTTAGTTAAAACTATATTTTAGTCATTTCATTTAGGCAGCGTGGATCACTTTGAATAATGATTCGCGTAGTGGTGCATGACCTGCATTGGTCATGTCTTCTAGCATCGAGCTTATGGCAGAGATTTATACATCAAGGTAATGCTCCAAAAGACCAAGTTTAGTGCAAATAATGCCACCTCTTTTATAAGAGTAAGTTAACTCATAACTTCACAATTAAATAACATAGCACAGAAAATATTTTTTCAGCGAATATCAATTAGGTAATAGGGTTTTAAGGAACCTTATCAACCATGATCCACAATTTCTTACTAAAAGGACGGAGATTACGCATTTTTTAAACTTCAAATCCACTTTAACAAATCCTAAATAATGGATAAAATCAGGATACAATGCACAATGAATAGATTATAATTTTAGAACTACTTGTAAGTAGTCAGTAATAGCTTGTATAAATATCTTTCCAACACTATTATTCTACGTAAAAATTGTTTCAGATGTTAGTTCATGCACAATTAAAGAATTTTTTTGTAAGAAAATAGGTCTTTACTGGTTCATACCACCTGCCAACCATTAAATAATAATAAACTTTGTTTAACAGAGTCATAAAGGAATTTCAAATATTTTATTACACAGTGAAACACTTACACCAAGTGGTCTACATAAACCAAGTTTTGAACAGATGAAAATACTGCTATTAAATTTCTCACATAGATTACCAGAATGATATGCCCCACATATACACCTGAATTTGCTGAACAATGGATCCATTAAACATATGCCTTGATTCAAGCATATATTTACTGTGCAAGGTAATAATCCTGCAACACTCCGTTTGGCTAAATTAATTTTATCTGTAGAAATCAAACCAAATATCCGTAAGATAATATCTAAGCCAATCTGAGGTGAGATTTTCCAAAAAAAGATGAAATAAAATGATAAAACTAATTTCATCATCAAATCTGTAATTTGATATTATGATTTCTACAAACACAGATTATTGAATAACTACATAGATCCCACTACGTAATCTTGAATTCTTGCAGTGTTTTTTCTTTTACGCGTATTGAATGGACCGGTAAAATGAAAGGTAAGTTAAGTGGTAAAATTGCTTTCGTGTGATTCAAAGAAAATTAAATAGTGTAATCAATCAACAAACTAGACATCCCTCTGATTGGCTGCATACCAAATTCATCGACTATGGACCCATCTAAATCCACTAAAATGATATTGAATAGAATCAGTTTTTAATTAATAACTTATAGAATGGCTGGAACGCCCGAAAATTGATAAGCGTCTTCTTAGAGTATCCATATCCTGTTTTAAATTATCCAGAATAATTCACTAACGTAAGATAAGATTACACATACGCAAAATTAAAATAACCGTCTTTTTAAATGCTATTTCTTATCCTCTCTGGTGCACTCACAGTTCTTGAAAGAAAATATACTTCAGCCTTGAGGCTGTTGATAGAATCATGAACTAATATGGGTCAAATGACTGTGTTACGCCTACATAACCACTGATCACACCGGTACACAATGCTTATTGATACAAGAACAGGTTGGAACAGAGCTCCTAACGAGCAGATCAAGAGATAACATGAATCCATCAGATTACTGAATGCCTGTCTGATTGATATCGATTGGTAGAGAGTCCTGTTTAGGGCCAGCACAATGATTGAAGAGGCTGAGTGGGATTACCTTAAACAGAG